AGAACGAGTTTTGCCATTCAGTAAACCGATCTCCATACTGAGGCACTAATCGCTATGTCGAGCACCGGAAGAGTAGGCAGGCATAGGGTTTTAGGGTTTCAGGGTTCAGGGTTTAGGATTTTAGGATCTAGGGGATTGGGGTTCAGGATTTTAGGGTCTAGGGTTCCGGGTTGAGGATTTATGGTTTTAAGACTTCGGGCATCATAGCCGTCGCGACAACTACACGACCCAGCCACAGACAACGTGTATGCGAGACTTGGTGTGGCACATGCTTTCGCTCCAGGACAACTCCACTGGGTGTTTCTGCTAATTGCAGCTGGGTCGTTTCCTGGAGCCTCAGTTCTTCCGCAGTGTGCTGAGACAACAGAACCAACGTACACTAATAGACTGATCGATCCCGAAACCCACCTGAAACCTAAACCCCAATTCAAAGCAGATCCCTAAACCCTCAGAGCCGTCAAAGACCCTAAGACACTCAACAGACCCTAAGACCGATCCAAAAAACTAGAAAAACTGACTCTTCTAAAAACGAAAACAAAGACCCTAAGACCCTTCTAAAAACTAGAAAAACAGACCCTTCTAAAAACGAAAACAAAGACCCTAAGACCCTTCTAAAGATCCTAAGACCCTAAAAAGACCCTAAGAGAGCCTACAACAAACTAGAAAAACAGACCCTTCTAAATACCCTAAGACCCTAAAAAGACCCTAAAAAGACCCTAGGACCACAAAAAGACCCTAAGACAGCCTACAAAGGCCGGCGCCACTGTCGCCACTGAGCTCCGGGGCACTTTGCCAGCCCCCGGCTGAAGGCCCCACCTGCGGTTGAGGGTTAAGGGTTTAGGGTTTAGGGCTTAGGGGTTATAATATAGGTCTGACCGTGTCAAGCAGTTTTTTGGGGGCCTAAACCCCTAAAAATAGGCAAAAGAATGACCCAGAACCTATAAAGGGCCATTACTCTACATACAGTGCTTTGGGGGTCCGGGTACGTTTTTTTTTTTTTTTTTTTTGTTTGAGCTCCTTTTTCCTAGAGGCAGCATCCGCAACTTCTAAGCAGGCCGGGTAGGGCTTACGGTTCAGGGTCTCGGGTTGAGCTGGTTTTTGGGGGCCGAAGGTTTAGGATTGGGGGTGGAGAAGGGTTACAGGGTTTTGGGCTTACCCAGACCCCGGGAAGATCCACAAAGTGTTCCTACAAAATAGCCTTAACGGTGGCTACCCAAACCCAAACGGGGTTGGGTTCCTTTGAACAGGGCTCTATGTGTATCATTACAAAAGTATAACAATGGTTCAGGGTTTAGGTGTTTAGGGGTGTTACGGATTAGGGTTTAGGGCTCGGGGTTTCTTCAGTGTTCTAGGGACTGCTGTTGTGATCTGTGTTGGACGGGTTCGGGTTATGCAGAGTTTCTCTTGGATTTTAATCTTCAATGTCTGTACAGGGATACAGCCACAGATGCAACATGTTGCTTCTAATGTTATCGCTCATTGGCTGTCCGGGATCTGTCAGATAACATCTGAATCACGATAACGAGAAGCAGTGCTTTAAACAGTGTTGTGCCCACTTCTGTGATGGCTTCACCCTAAACCCTAACCCAAAACCCTAAACCCCTAAACCCTAACCCCTAAACCCCTAAACCCTGAACCGTGAACATGATTCCCAAACCCCAAACACTAAACCCTAAAGCCGAACATCCCGCCACGGCATCTCGAGCTGTATGACAGGTGCAAGTGGGTATCTGTCAGGGCTCCGTATCTTTATATTAGTACTTGGTGCTTCAGGAGTAGTTATAAGTGGGGTTTTTAGTCCCGCAATATGCGTTGTAAGTATAGTTACCCTACTTTATAACCCTACTTATAACTACCCATGAACCTCCAAGTAGAGTATACCACCTAGATATAATAGTATGTACCATCCAGACACCCTCGCCCAAGTAGTATCCTTTAGAAGCTGCCCCCACCCTGTAATAGTGACTCTAAGGATTCTAGTATATTATAGTAGGGCCCTATTATATTCCTATTATACCACTATTACAGGGTCGGGGCAGCTTCTAAAGTATCCTTAGAAAGATGATGGCCATGACGACCGTGGGGCCGGCGCCACGATGACGATAGCCACACACCAACAGTGGCAACAATGATGAGCATGATTTAGGTACGGCCCCCATACAGTACTAGGATACCCAGTAGCCTAAGAATAAAAAGGCCTCTCTTTTTGGTATTGGGTAACTTTATACGGAACCTAGGACTACAAAAAGGGAATAAGGGTACTACTGGGCATCCTAGAGTAAGAGTCTATAATAGGGCTACTACTACTAAGGTCCTAATATATCTGCGTGGGTGCCGTACCCAAAGCATGATGCATTGGTGCTTGGGAATGCTGTGATGGGCCAGACTTTCTGGGACAAAGATCTAGATGATGATTGATGATGGTGGCGGTGAGGATGGTGATGATGACCATGACGACCCGCGGTGGTAGCGCTGGCGATGGTACAGCGACGACCATTACGATGAGGGTGAAGATGATGGTGGCATGAATGGTGATTTGCTTTCAACACCACCATGGTAAACATGCAGGGCCGATCAGTACTGTCTTGTTCGCCGAAGCGAGTAACGAGAACCGAGAAAGCTGCATCAATTCAAGCCGTGGTTTTGGTGATGAAGCGGAAGATCTGCAGGGAATCAACAGAAAAAAGCGGGCATGTAAAAGTGGCGGTTCAATGCTTCCCGTGCAGACTGACTTCACCTAAAGTTCCCAGCACAATTCGAGGAATATTCGTAGTCAAGGAAGATTGGTCGGTCGAGTTGCGGTTGCGGCGGCATCATCTGCGCCATGGCTGCCAGAAGCTCTGAGACGAACGCAGAGATGCAAACTTCAGGTCTGTAGAAGAACCCTGAGTCCCAGACCCCAGTTGGAGGATCCAAAAAGTAGATCCCTTAATGAGGGCTCCTAAAAAGCACCCTTAGTAGTATAGGGCCCCAAATTAGGGGATCTACTTTCTAGATGCCCCCGGGTGTCTGGGTTGGTACTTTAAATAGAGGGCATATGGCCCCTCATCGTCGATATGTAGGGTCGAATATGGGGTAGATGGAGGGTTCAGGTATGCAGCATTTAGCCAATGACACTACATCGCAGACGATGCGCTGCTCACTCTTTTGCGACGTTGCTCTTGGCTCCCGAAATTGCACTGTGTAACCTTCCCTGGCTAAAAACCCTCCCACCTGAAATCTGAAATCTCGTAATTCCCATACTCCAAAACCCTTCCCTGCTCTGGGGAGCTGCGCGCAAGGTTCCTCGAGCCAGCAAGACTTCACGGAAACCGAGAGAGGTTCTCCAGTGCACTTCGACTCACGACGAGAAACCCGAGGGTCCATGCACTCATATGGGAGTTTCCGGAAACAGGGGACCCTAATATAGCACCCTAAATAGTAGATCCCTATTCTAAGGACCCCCAAATAAGGTACCCCTAATTTTCGGAAACTCCCATATGGAATATACGTTCTTCTGGTTTTGGGGCTTCGGTTGATAGGGCATCTGCTATATAGTTACTCTAAAGTTACTGCATAGGATGCTAGGCCTCAGTATGGGATATTTGGGCACATGTATCCTTCAGAGAATTAGGCGAAGCGTACAATGGCAAAAGTCCTATCATGGGATACTGGGCTTACCGTGCAAATTACGGCAAGCAGCACAAATGGGTGGTTCAAGCGTCCGCGGGCTCCAAACAGCCCAAGTATTTGTTTACCCACCGGTCAAGCGATCCAACTGCGAACACTGACTTGACCTCCGGCCGAAGTTTGCCTCTCCTGCAAACTCTGAACAACCCCTGAACCCTATTTAGGGTACCTGAAAAGGGCCCCTAATTTTGACAACTCCCCCTATAAAGCTCGGTGTTTACACCACGCGCGTCAAGCGAAGGCCATAGTCATAGATGGCCACGGCATTGCCATTTGCCTTCCCAGGTGCAGAGCCATCCCCAGAAGTTTCATAAGTGTTTGGCCCAAATGTGGGCCAGAGGGTCCATATACACTACTATTGTGGAATTGGGCCCGAGAAGACCATCACTTATGGTTTTGGGGACCTATTTCCACAATAGTAGTGTACATGGACCCTCTCGGTGGTGTAGCCCCTACCCTGCTCTACCCGCCCACAAACTCCTTTCGAGGTATCGAAGGGTCCAATGTCTAAGCAGACGTCCGACTTCTTTAGAAGCGGCCCCCACCCTGTAATAGTGACTATAAGGATTCTATTAGGGCCCTATTATATTCCTATTATACCACTATTACAGGGTGAGGGCAGCTTCTAACGAATTCTGCTTTAACTGCAGTGAGGGCCTGAAACCAACTCCAGAACACCGCAGTGGCCCTTAGAGGTGCAGCCGAAACCCACGAACCCCGACTTAAACGATCATGGGTTTTTTACTAACTATGGATATCAACAAGGCACTTGCAGCTATGATTGACCTTGGTTGAGATGGAAAACAGTAACTATTTTCCTTCCGAGTCAAAGTACCTCGAATCTTACTTTCTAAGTCCCATCCTAGTGCCAGCCCCTCGTCTAAGGCCTAAACCCCTAACCCTAAACCAACCCTCCTAACCCTAAACCTTAAAAACACCGAAACCTTTAAACTCTGTAAGGCTGCGGAACCCTCAATCAGAAACACACCGGCTACAGCACACAGAAAAGCTGGAAAGCCAAAACCCTGGTGCTCTCTGAACCCACATACAACGTTCATCAACGTTATAAACATCAACACCAACATCACCGTCAACATCAGCGTCATCGTACGGTATCAGGTATCATCATCATCGTCGCCAGCACCATCACCGTCACAACCGGCATGCTGACTGCTGATGCTTCCGGACAATTCCATTCATTATGACGCAACCTGACGTGCCATAGCACCGCTTTTTGAATGCTTTGGCTTTTGGCATGTATATGTCTACAGAGTCAACAGAACAACCGAAACCTCGCCCAACACGTTCTACCATGTAGCATTGCTACAAAATCACCCTCCTACGTTGGGTGCTGTTATGTCAGGCGTGTCTGCAGCCTCGAAATAGCGCTCGTCCACAGGTTGCAAAAAGGCCGCCACACGCATCTGCCCAGTCACGGCATCACCTGTATCGGAAAGCGCTCCGGGTATAGAGTTCTACGGGGCTAAGGGTTCAAAATTCAGATCGCCCGTGCAGGGCTGGCTATTACAGTTTAGGGTGGTTTCATTGCCTCTGGACTCTGCCTGACAATCTTAACATGTCACCTCTCACGGCTAAGTCCTACACGGGCAAGGGAATCATAAGTCGTGAAGTCTTCACAGCATCAATCATCACAATGGCCGCAAGAAGAAAACAACCCCTGCACCGTCAGCTTTTAACCACTGCACCGGAAGCACCTCTATAGCATAGACTTCGATGAAAAGAACAGGGGCTCCTTACAGCTATCACCTTCGGTCGGACCTTCAATTCACCTCCCCCTTAACCCTAAACCCAAACCCTAAAGGGAACTCCAGAAAGTTGGAATATAGTTTTAGGGTAGGATACCTTATAATTTACCATAAAGGGTTTAGGATAATCATATTCCAACTTTCTGGCTTTTACTTTACAGCCCAAACGCCATGACACCCACACAGTCAACCCTTGTCTTCCGAGAGTGCCACCGAAGGCACCTTCTTTGCGAAGCGACATGAGCACCTTCCGGAAGGCAAAGACCGTTCAACTTCTCCTTATAGTAGCCTTAATAGTATCCTTATAGAGCCCCTATAGAACCCTTAAAGGGGACCCTGATAGGCGTGATCAAGGCCCCACACAAATACATCAACTACGAAGCCCTAAACCCTAAACCCTGAACGAAGCCCCTAAACCCTAAACCCTGAACGAAGCCCCTAAACCCTAAACCCTAAACCCTAAACCCTGCCCACCCGTAGACGTTTTTGAAGGCTTCGGCTTCCGCTGAGCCCTGACAAGCCTCAGCCAGCCCTAGAAACCCTGAGTCCCAAGACCGCAAACGTCGAAAGAAGAGTAGAGGTTTAGGGTTTAGGGTTTAGGGTTTAGGGTTTAGGGATTAGGGTTTAGGGTTTAGGGTTTAGGGTTTAGGGATTAGGGTTTAGGGTTAAGAGTAGAGCTGCCTTGTAGTCGGCCACACCATTTGGAGCCAGCAGCTCGTCCTCAGCTAGCTGACTAGTGTGTTGGGGTACCTACGAATATAGTAGTTATAAGAAGGATCCCTGAGGACTAGATTGACTAGATGGGAGTTTCCGAAAATTGGGGGTGCCTTATTTTGGGGTCCTTATAATAAGGAGCCTACTATTTTACCTACTATTTAGGGTACTATATTAGGGTCCCCTGTTTTCGGAAACTCCCAGATTGGTGATGGCGTACTGGGACAACTTGGCAAGCAGGGACATAGGAAACAAATCCCTTGATACACGAAGCCCAAGCCCCCAAATCCTAAATCCAGAAACCCATCTGAGCCTCGTTTGGCAGGTTGAAGCTTCGGGATTTTTGGTTTGACTTCGGGTGCCCGAGCGCTTTGAAGCCTTAAACCAGACAGCTCTAACACCCACAGCAATGGCCCATCCGATACCATGAAGACCCTCGAACTATGCGAAAGCGCCTTTAACCAGTGGCGGTTTGGATTTCGGGCAAGTCGAAAATGCTCAGAGTCCTGATTCAGTTTCACAGTGCGATATTGATTTCCGGAATGCACAGAGACTCCGTAGATAAGCTTCCCACTCAACGCTGACTAATTTCTCCAGTAGCCTGTGGGAGCGTTATCGAACACCCCGAGCAGGGGTGAAGTTTACCTACCCTACTGTTAAAGCTTATCTGCTAAGTTTACCTACGCTACAACATTCTGCAACTGTTTACAGGTAAACAAGGCCAAAGCCCTGATATCCAAACTGCGAGTGCAATAGACATAGACAATGCTGATTGGGACTTGGCAAAAGCATACATAGACCCACATATCGAATGCCATGTATTGGATGACTCTGTTTATGGTCCGGACTTAGGATCCTACAAGAAGCAACTAGGGCAGCCAAAAACGGTGCAATACCAAACCCAACCCACCTAAACCTTAAACCCTAAGCACCAAACCCTAAACCCCAACCCACACTCTGAACACGGTCTCGGGTCGGGATTCGTGGGTCTTGAGCGATCTCCACAGCTTGGGGCTTTGGGAGCTTCACAGTTGCTGGGGTTTTAGGGGAGGCTTCAGCATTCTGCAGGCAGCTAAGGAGCTTGTTGGCGGATCCACTCTGCCTTAGCGCAGCGCCGTAGCGCTTGAAGACCCCGAATGCTAGGCAAGTTCGTGGACAGAATCATACCTGACAGAAACTCTAAACCAACAAAATCCTCCAGCGATAACTCAGCGTGCGTGTCAAAGGATCATCGCCGCCGAACAACTAAACCTTGAACTCCGCACCCCAAACACTGACCCCTAAACCGCAGACCCTGAAGCCACGAAAAGATCATCTCAACTCCTGTCCTCACAGCGGTGGGCTCAGCGTTTAGGGGGTTCAGGGTTTAGGGTTCGAAGGCTTCAGGGCTTGGGGTTTGGTGTTTAGTCTGGTTTAGTCATGTTAAGGCTTTGGCACAGCATGTGGAGGTTTGGGGTCTTTTCAGTTCACTTACTGCAAGGTGATTACAGCATAGTATACCCCAAGAACTATAGTAATTCTTCAGGCACTGCGCAAAAAACAGCCCTAGTATAACTATACCACCCTAGAACCATCATACGAACACTACTTTAAATATTCTCTTGGGCTTTGAATGAAGCAAAGTAGAGAAATCCTAAGAAGAGAGAGAGAGAGAGAGAGAGAGTGTGATATATATATATATACACATATTATATGTAGGCAACATTAGGCAACTATATCTAACAAGGGACCCTATGGAGTAACATTAACTCCTACTTCTTCAGGACTCGCGACGTTGGAATTGCACTGTTCGCTGCCTAAGCCTTAATGCAGACCCCTGATTAATGCCACCCTTTTTAGTAGGGACCCTTAGAAATGGGAGCCCTGCTGCAATCCCTGCAAAGGGGCAGGGATTTAATTTCTCAGTGCGGTCTTCTTGAAACCCTAAACCCTTAACCCAAGTAGCTGAGGCACAGAAAGGCACTGGGCATCGTCATACCAGACTTCTCCGGCAAGCCATGCTGACGTGACGGTTCGCTCCGTGAGGTTGCCCTGCACGACGCAGGGGATGGTGGTAATATAGCGGCCTTCATAATGAGAATATGGTTTGGTTATACTATACTCATAATACAGAACCGAAATTGCATTGGTATAGTACTAAGGCACACTCACACACTGTCCTATAGCCATGCGCGGTGGTAGGGGGTCTAGGGGTTGTGCAAAATCCTTATAGAGGCTCATTGGGTTTAGGGTTGCAGGTCCAGGACTCAATTACTAGCATGCATGACACCATGATCTACTATAGGGCGTTTATCCTCTGAAGCAGCCATTGCTTAGGGCGGCCAGACTCCCTGATTCACGGCGTCAAACATTGCAACACATCATACCCTTACCTAGTGCAGCGTTCCCTGGCACAGAAACGTTAGCCATTCTATTTCGGAAGATTGTATATGTAAAACCTGCAAGGTTGAAAATACCTATTCAGCTACTACGATGAGGATTCCTGTCACCATTTCCCATCCATGTTGAACTTGACGAGAGTTGATAGTACTTGTACCTAGTCTGGCTTCCGATGTGCACTTGAACAGTCTGAGGTCTTGATATTTACCATAGCTGCGACCAAGAAGTCCAGACTGCGACGGGTCCAGCGCTCTATGTAATCCTTTTAAAAGATGCCGACCTGAATGAACAGATGGACGAAGCAGCATGTAAAATGCTGCAACGTGCGAAGCCTTACCATCCCACAACTTCGTTATCGACACCCTAGCCTTCTTGACCAGCGTCGTCGGCGCTGCATACCTTGCATCGCAGTAGGACTCTGGTATCGAGTGGCTGGCTAGTGCGGCGGCAGTGTCTCTGACATGTTTTTGCAATATCAAAACCATAGGTCACTGCCTGCCTGACAGGAACAAGCACATCGAACTCTGTCAGAGCACATGTGTCGGGGACTCGGCTGGATTCATTAAATAGACTTGCAGCTTCCAAGGACCTACCGATAACAAACAGTGATAGAATCGAAGGCATAAACTTGGTCCACCGAGAATCCCTCGGGTGACAAACCCTCGACACTACATGGCGAAAACCTATAGACACTGCGTGAAGCTCCGATACATATAATCCCCTGCCCCACCGTGCTGAACCGTATGCGCTCTTAGCCCCGATCCCTATAAACGCTTGTTAACCCTAATATAGGGGCCTTAATAATTAGAATAGGGTTTTGGGGCCCAATATACTATATTATAGTAAGGAACCCCCAAAATAGTATTGGTAATGATTTAAGCCCCTATATGGGAGTTTCATGATTTAAGCCCCTATATGGGAGTTTCCGAAAATAGGGGACCCTAATATGGTACCCTATATAGTAGCATCCTTATTATAAGGAGCCATCAAGAAGGTACCCCTAATTTTCGGAAACTCCCATATTACCCCTCCAAAGAAGGCACCGTGCGCCTCAGGGCCAAGCCATCGGACCGCTGCTTGGCTTCACGCACAGTGCTATCCGGCCAGAAAGCCTCGACTCCGGGATGAGTTCTAGCTTGGACGTGGATTTTGCTGGCGTTTGGTTGCTATGTTGTGCATTTTGGGCCTATGACTTGCGTATTTCTTTGTTTTGTGCTCGGGCCTCTAGTTGGGTCTTTGTTCGTTCTGTGCCTTTGAAGCCTCTCGCCGGATTAGGGTGTACGCCCCTTAGAACCAAAATAGCAATGTTATGTCAAATAGTCTCTTTGGTTTATAGGAACGGAAAATCCTAAGGAGACTATAGTCGGTTGTAGAGCGCAGAAGTCTGAAGCTATAGGCCCTTAACCCTAAACTCTAAACTCTAGACCCTAAACTACTAAACCCTAAAGACCCTAAAGCCTAAAGCCTAAAACCCTAAACCCCTAAACCCCCAGTCTCAGTCGACTTGTGGTTCCATGGCAGGGCAGGGTTATTGCTGTATTTGATTGAAGCAGCTCAGAGCTCTTTTGTTTTTGTTGAACCCTCTTTTCCGACTGCCCCGAAAGGTTATCTTTTTGGGATTTAGAGTTTGGGGTTTTCTTGTTGCTCTAAGCACTGTTTTCCTGTAAGCATATTGGGGAGAAGTATTCTTCACCAAACATATTGGGGAAAAGTACTGTTTCCCCAATATGTTTAGTGTTCTCTGCCCCTGGCACATGGGTGGTTGTCAAAATTAAGGTCCATTTTTGGGTACCCCAGATATTAGGTGCCGTACTATAATAAGGACCCAAAAAGGGACCCTAATTTTGACAACCATCTACATGACCTAAGCGGCCTAGAGAGTTCGGAGTTTCGGGCCTCAGACTACAAACAACAAACAGGCACACAAATGAAAGGGGACCAACCATTGCAAAGCCTGCGCCCTGAAAGGAACATGCTCAAACTCCCCAGAGTCTAAACAAATCCCAATCACAACACCCAACAAGACTAAACCTGAAAGGAAGCCGACAGTCTGGCCCTACCCTCCGACGAAAGAGCCTCCAGCGTTGCTGGTAAGGCTTGGCTCCAATCCTTGGGGTCTTTGGGGGCTTCTGGTTTAAGGTTCAGGATTTAGGGTTTGGACGGGTTTAGGATTTTAGATGGCTTGCTAGGCCTTGTGAACACTCAAACCTGTAGACTGCAAACCGTGAAGGGCTTATGGGTTCCAGGCACCTTTGGAGGTCGAGGAGTTTCGGCCTGGGCGGGTTGGGTGTATGACTCACCCATGCGGGATAGGAATGTTTGCCTTGACGCCTAAACCACTAAAAACCCAAGAAACCGCGAAGTGAAGGCCCATTGCTGCGTGGCATCGAGGCGGCTGCCACTCCCAGCCGCGGAAAAGCTCCAGCGAGAATTTGGCTCCGCTCCAACCTAATCCCGCTTCAAACAAGACAAGTTCGGAGAGCGCGGGTGGCTATACTTTGGGTACTGACCCCACCATGTAATAGACGAAGTAGAAGGGTCAGAGTATGGGCCATAATAATTATAGCAAAAAAACATCATCCAACTGCTGCAGGCAGAGTGACGGCGGTACCTTCAGCAACTGGGCTACAAAGCTAGGCAATCCCGAAAGCGCATAACCTGAAACCATACCATCAACTACCAGAACTAACCATGCTGGAGCTAAATTTGTGTAGGCCCTACCAACAAATCCCTATCTCTATCCCTGTCTCTATGTCTGTTTCTATCTATAAGCCTATCTATCTATCTGTCTACCTACCTATCCGGACAAATACACATACCTGTAAACCGTGCGAAACTATTCACATACTCATACACATGTACAAACAAATACTGTACATCAACATACAGATACACAAAACCAGCATGCAAACATAAACACATGAACCTGTACATACACATGGACATGCACACGCACACACACACACACACACATGTACGTCCATGCATTCACCTGCTCACCCATATCCATATCATTCCAACCATACATCGATGCACCCATACATTGCATTCCATTGCACTCCATTCCATTCGATTCCATTCCATCCCACTGCATTCAATTCCATCCATCCATGTGTGAATGAATGCATGCATACTGAAAGTTGCAATGGCGGATGAAATCCCATGAAGCATCCTCCTACGTCCTCGCTCGGGACCTCAACAGACTCGCCGGAGGGCATTCGGCAGCCTCAAGATAGAGGCCATCGCCACGCCTGGAACCTACGGCCAAGGATTTAGGAAATGGGGGTTTGGGGTTTGGGGTTGATGCTTGCGTTCAGAGAGTTGGCGTTTGGGGTTACTTATGCTGCTGCTAATACGACGACAGCGGCGACTATGACTACTACTGCTGCCACTGCAAGTCTAAGCTGACATCGGTGGACAACCGGACATCCTAAACTCATCCTAAACAGTATGAAACCCGAAGCCCTAACCCCCCCCCCCCCCCCGCCCTCAACAAAAAAAAACAGCACCGTGTTGAGTTCCCAGGCCGTTCTTGTCCCCTTGATGCCCGGGAGCTGTTGGCGCGAGAACGCCCCATCCCTGGGGAAAGTGCACGTCTTGCTTCTTGTACTTCACCTGCTCCAGATCTGCACGCCGAGAAACTTTAGAGGTTTCGGCATTAGGATTCGGAAGGGCGCTGCATAGTGTGTGCAAATATAGTCTACTGCTCTTGCGGTCATCCCAAACTTCGACGTCGTGCTCCTGTTCCAGTGGGTGGTTAATTGCGGGTATGTAGGAGCAGCTTTCGGCTTTGGGACTCCCCGAAAACCCAATTGGGAGTTTCCGAAAACAGGGGATCCCAACATAATACCCCCAATGGTAGGTAGGATCCCAATTTCAAGGACCCCAAATTAAGGTATCTCTAATTTTGCGAAACTCCCAATTATCTGCAAAGTGAGCTATTGTTTTTTGCTGTAGTGTGAAGGATCGGATCTATGCAGCTGGCAGGTCCTTCTGTGGACGAGACGAAGAGGCCATGGCTGCTACGAATGTCAAACTCCCTTAGCAAACAATCGGTTTAGGGTTTACCCATAGGCCCCAAAGTAGTTCCTTTTTGGGATTGCCTTATAGGATTCTATATACAAGCCCCAAAAAGGAACTACTTTGGGGCCTTAGGGTTTAGGGATCCTAGTTCCTGCGAGCGTTGCTTTATTTATGGAGGAAGGGCAGCCCGAGACGAAGAATTCGGCTTCCGACGGAGCTACACATGACGAAACTAATGCATGGATTGATGCAAGCCAGAATAGGTAAGGTTTACCCTCAAGCTCAAAATATGCCACAAACATTGCAGAATTGGTCTTGGTGGCGATTTGTGGCCAAGTGCCTTGAATTCGTATTTTGGGTAGGACGTTCGGAGTCTGACCGGTCTATCTGGCTCACCGGACTGAATCTTGCAACCCACCCTACTTAAATACCCTGAACCCCAATTAATACTTAGCTTTGGTTAGTAGGGAATGGAAGAATGGTAGTAATAGTCGATATAACTGTACCCCATTCCTCCGTTCCCTACTAACCGAAGGTAATTTAAATGCTGAACCTAAAGATTGTAAGGTTCAGACAGCGCCGAGGGTTCGGGGTTCGGCTCCGACAAACGCTCTTTGCCCGGCCTCCCAGCTGCCTTTGAGCCAGTCCGGATAAATCAGGGACGCCCCTGCGCTGGCCATAGTGGTATGTAGGGGCCTTAATAAATTAGAGTAGGGTTCCTTTAAAGGGTTCTACCCGGGATCCATAATGGAGTTCACATAATATAGGCGCCTTAATCATTAGAATGGGGTTCGGGGCACATTATACTGCGAGTATAGAAGGAACCCCAAAATTGTATTGGTAATTATTTAAGCTCCTATCGCAATACTTCTAGAAGTGTAGCAATGGTGGTAGCAGTAGTCGTCGTCGACGAGCGGTACTGGAGGCAGTAGTGGTAGCAGGGGTAGTAATTCGTGGTAGTGGCAGTCATGTTCATGCTGGTAGAAATTGTGATAGCGGTAGTGGCAGTGGTAGTGATTCTGGTCGTAGGCGTCGTCGTAGTACCGAATCCTCATAAACATCGTCTCAAACCGTTATCAGCAAATCTGACAAGCCCCATAGAGACCCCTTTACACAATCCCTTGAGCCAAGCTGCCACAGGGATCAATTTTTGATTGGCCCACCAGAGGCTTCCAGGAAATCGTAGGGGCCTTCGAAGGATGCAAAATCGCAGAAGCCTAGTAGGGCTTTATTTTTATGATTTTCATGCTTATGTTTGCCAATATCATTGTTGCAGGTTTGAACAAAGGTTTGGAGGGTTGAAGCGTTTTCGAGGGCTTTGCTTTGTAGGAATTTTAGCAGGCTTTGCAAGAGCTTCGTTGGAGAGCACGGATTGATAAACGCTTATGCAGCTTTATACTGCGTAGGGTCCGACAGAGGCTTTATGGCAAGTTTCCACTGCATCGCAGACGATTTACAGGGTATAGTTGATCAGTTCCGCGTTGACAGCCTGCAGTACCATCGAGAAAATGCTGAACCCGCTCAAGGTGTTCACGCTATGTCTACCGCTCTGAACCACTAAAACTCCAAGCGCCGCTCCAAACTCGAACAACGAGTGCTAAAACCCGCACAACCCCTGCACCCTTATCCCTGCTGTGGAAACTCTACAGCGCAACGTTCTGCAAGCAGAACCCGAAACTTGAAAGCCGAAATCCTTGCGACTGTGTCTACGATTCCGTGGTTTAGCGTGAACGCGCTTCAGGCATGCCGCTTCGGGATTGTTTGGGATGGAAAATTCGGAGTTCGATGGTTTAGGGTCAGGATGCCGGGGGGGGGGGGGCGGAGGCGGGGGGGGGGCCAATGGCCAAAGTCGACGCCATAAACGAGCTCAGTTGCCTGCCACTATCGAAGCGATAACACGGCAAATGATGAGAAACCCGTGGCGTGTGACCCAGATAATTTTTGATTCGTTCAAAAATACGGTACTTTCCCATGTCCTGTACCTGTCGAGTATATACAAACTGTGGCCACAAAAGGGTCTTGCACAGGTCCTTCCAGGTCGGAATGTGGACTTTTCGACCGTACTTTGGGACCCTTTTAAGAAGGATCCTACTATTTAGGAACCTATATTTGGGTCCCCTATTTTTCGAAACTCCCATTTGTAGAACCAGATACTTGAACCCTCGGACAAAGCCGCTCAGGCGAGCCTAAGCCTAAATCCGAAGCCCTCAATCCAACAAGCCTAAACAATTTAGGCGGCGGTATGGCCTCGAAGGACTCAAAGAGTCCTGGCGGCCGTTCTTGTTAGGGCTTAGGTTTAGCGTTTAGGGCTTGTAGGGCTTTTGCTGCAGGTTTAACTAGGGTGTAGGGTTTCGAGTTTCCGGAATGATGCTTTGCTTCACGAGTCTGCTTTTTGCATTCCAGAGTTTAGATGTCTTGGGCTTTGGGCTCTCGAGGGATTGAAAGGGTAGCATGGTTTTGAAACGTCAAAACGTTATGCATGTTTAGCTGCAATGCCACCGCATCTAAACCCAATCCTCGGACCCTGAACCGAACGCTGTACAACAACGATGAACTCTAAACACCAAGACCACTCCAAATCCTTGCGAACGCCGTCATATAACAACACTCTTGCAGAACTGAACAAGCCAACAAGCCCGATAAGACGGGCGTAGGGTTCGGGGTTTAGGGTTCTGGGATCAAAGCGTCAATTTCTGAGGGTCCATGTGCCTGTAGAGTATGCATTCTAAGTATTTAGGAACCCCTGTGATACCAAGGCATAGGCTGAAGAGTTCTTCAACTAAGTCTTCAGAGCTGCAAAGGGGCCCGAACTGAAACTGCAAACCAAGGCTTCCCAGGGACGCAGGGCTAGAAATCTTCATAGCACTGGTAGAGGAAGGAGCTACATGTCAATGATGAAGGCCGAGGCAACGACGGCGACAACGACGGCACGACAACGACGACGACCACGCTGCTGCACTGCACGTTTTGTCACGAGAAGCCACAGCCCGAATCGCCATGACAACAGAACGGCCCAGGGTTTAGGGTTTAGGCATTTAGGGTTTAGAGCGCGGTTAAGAATGCAAACTGGGAACAACTGCAAGTGACAACAGCACCAGGAGGCCTTGTGACAGAAATGATTCCCTGCACCAAGAAGCAAATAGAAGTCACTGCATGAATAAGTTCAATATCCCTGATAGTACTCGTCGGCTTGACACTAGTCTCAGAAGTTGTGTACTCAAAAGATGACATGGGAAAATGTCCACTCACAACAGGTAACAAGCTTGTCATGATTTCAGAGTAACTTGAAGCCCTGGGCAAAAAAAGTGAATCGTAAACCTTACTCACACCCGAGAAGCTAGAATTCGACACCCCGAACACTAAACCTTGAACCCTAAATTCACCAAAATGCTCAAGCCTGGTAGAGCAAAGGTTCATCTCCCTGGAAATCTAAAGCCCTAAGCCTCCAAAGCCCTCCCCCCCAAAAAAAAAAGTAAAAAATCCTGAACCCTGAAAGCCTTCCAACACATGTAAGCCCTCATCTCTGATTTGGGAGATTCCGAAAATAGGGGACCCCAGCATAGTACGCTCAATAGTAGGATCCATATTGTGAGGATCCCAAAATAAGGTACCAATTTTCGGAAACTCCCATTTCGTGATCTTCCAATTTTTCGGCTCTGACCTGGGAAACGGCCGAGTTCTGCGGACCAGGGTGGCGCGGAGGGTGGGACAGAAGGAGCTCCTCCTGTGAGTTTCGACTAGCACAAGGGTCTTAGTAATCAGAACAGGGTTCAAGTTCGTTTAAGGGGTCCTATAATGGACCTCTATGAGGGTTTTTTACTACCTAGAGCCCCAAGGGTCTTAGCAAGCAGGTTATGAGTAGGGGTTATAATTGAGGAACCCACTTACTAAGTTTGCTGGGCCTCTGAGAAGGGGCCTCGGTACTTGGAGTCACGAACAGGCATTCATGCATACAGTAGAGGTTTCAAAGGGTTTCTGGGTCTTATATGGGTCTGGGTTTCGCAGGGGTTGCTGGGTCAATATGCAGGCCCGAATCATTCGAACGGCGCTTGGGGAGTGTATGCTGTAAACAGTTTAATACCCAGAGGGTCCATATACACTACTATTACTAGACCCAAGAGTAACCTAGGAAGAAAAAGGGCGCCCTTTTTGGTTTAAAGGGGCTTATATGGGAACCTGAATCCTACAAAAAGGAAATAAGGGCCTGCTCTAGGTCCTAG